CATTCACGACAGAATAGGGACTACACTACAGTGTGCTGCGTTGCATGTCTTTTTCACTTGAACTCATCCCACAAACACATAAGTTATAGAATATATATATATATATATATATATATATATAGCCTGTGTACAGCTTAATTTATAGCACAAAACTTCTGTTTGCTGATTGAGGTTTTCATATACTGATGGGGACACATCAGCAATAATGATAAGAGATGGGATCATGGGAGTTGGGAGTCTTCTCAAATCCTCAATCGGGACTCAGAATTCTTGGAGAAGCATAAAAAAAAAATCAGTGACTCACGATCAAGTCAATTAGAAAGAAAGAGTTAGGATGCACTGATTGGAGGATATCGATCAGTTGGGAGAAAAAAACAATAAGAGATGGACGAAAGGGACACTTTGATGGGACTCAGAATTCGTCGTGTGAGGTGATGCCAATGAGGCGATGAGGTAGGCGATTCATATGGACGAAATGTTCTCTATATGTGATTGCGATAAACGTGGACAGGATTCTTTTGTGTAGGAGATCTGAACTTCAGTCAATACGATGCTTTCACATTACCATTCCATCGAATTGAAGCCATTAATGCTAGTAATGTGAACGCGAGATGTGCATTGAAGTGGGGTGGGGGGAGTTGATTGATGGGATATTGGTTTTCATCGATTAAGATTTTTTTTTTTCAGATTTTATGGGGTTTATGAAAAATTTATTTATTTTTAGTATTACTTACTCGGATAAAAATCTGTCATGTGAATAAATAACTTTTATATCTGATGAAAAAATTATAAATACTTGAATGAGATAAAATTATATTTTTTAATAATGTTATTTTAGGATTAAAATGGTCACTGCCTTATTTATTTGAAAAATAAAAAAGTATGGATAAATATACTTATCCAAATAAATATTTCTCAGAAAACATTTACCTAATAAGCAAATTTATCCAAATAATTAAAAGAAGAAAACAGTCGTAAATGTGATGTGTAAAATTGAAGAAAATCCTATATACTACATTGTAACGTTAGATGTTATAATTAGAATTGGTTTTGGCTTGATTAATGATAACGATGATGTATATATATTTTTAGGAAACAAAAGCAATTATGATAAACAAGTTGCATATGAAACATCTCTCCATGCAGAATGCATGTATGGAAGATATTCTGATACGTAACTAATTAATGCTATTTGAGCAGTTTTTGATTGTAGGAGATCGGCATTCAAAAAAATTGGTATCTATGAATTTAAAAACCAGTCACTCAATCAGCTGGGGCCGGTATTCATCGAGAACGGATCTGCTCCTCACATAGGGCGTTTCACACGCACATCCTATCATACATTGAGAATATCTCCCATATTTGTAAGTTATTTTTTATGGGAGATGTTCTCAAGGCACGGTGGATGTGCATGTGAGGCACCCAAGTGTGAGGAGCATATCCCATTCCAAATTCATCCCCATTGTTATTTGTGAAGCATTGACACCTCCCCCGGTGACGAGCTTGGCTTCGGTCAGTGCTAATACCCGTTCGAACAGTCTTTACAGCATTGCATTAAGAATATCTCCGTGCATGTGTGTTTTATTTCATGGGGACATGCAAAATTGCAAAACACTGTTTGAATGGTATAAATACGGACTTGCACTGACTGAAGCCAAACTCCCCGGTGACCGGACTGTCCCTCAGCAGTGAAACGATGGCTAGATGTATAGATCGGACCATGATGGGCCGCTAATTAAGCCACCACCCAGCTCTCAACCATCATATTTTTAGTTTTAATCGGGCCAAGTTTCTCGACGAACCCAGCCCATTAAGGGTAATAAAACCTCGGAAGATCCAAACCCACAACTTAGATAAACTCAGGACCATGGGCAGTTTAGTTGGGTTAGTAAAATGCAATCAAAACGACTCATCAATATATTCATACATGGCTAATATAGGAGGATGTTCATGTTGCCAGGCTCTCTCTCCTCTCTGTTTGATTAGAAAACCCTCTTCTCCCAATAATATTTCACATTCGTCACTGGTACTGGTAGAAGCCATGTTCATTACTTGTTCAGTGAAAATGTGTTGGAAAAAGATGTCTATCAGAGAATGCTGTCTGCAATTTTAGAAAAGAAGTGGGGATCTGATTGATGTTAAGCCCCTTACAGAAACAAACATGTTTGTTTTGGGTCTTACAAAGTTTGCCACTTAGTAGTTCCATTTGTTTGCCGTGTAAATTTCATTTGTATAGCAAATGCGGGGAAGTGTAAATTTTGGTTTTTTTTCTTTTGCTTCGTAATTGATTTTGTCTTATTTGTTTGAAAAATATAGGAAGTAAAATAATGTGATTATAACTTTATATGAAATAGAATGTAAGTTAGAAGAATGTTATTTCTTGAAGAGGAGCAAGGAATAAAATTGATGTGGTTGGTGCATCACAACGAGCAGGTCGATTACGCCACTAACTCTTGGTAGGAGGGATTCGTTCTCTGTCAGTGGCGTGTAATGCGTTAATTCCATAGTCGGTATTGTTTAGGGGTTTGGCCCGTTTGATACTGAAGAGCCTATTCGCGAAGATGTTATCGCCAACGCGCAAGATCATGCCGAGGACCCCCCAGCAGAGAATTGATGTATTGTCACTTCCCTTTTTTTTTTTTACGAGGGCCTCTGTGTTTAATCCAGCATGTCGAGTTGTAGTTGATGTACTTTTTTTTATTAATGAAAGTCCATTTTGCCGAGCAAATTTTTCTTTTCTACGATTGACATGTTACTTTCCTTAGTTATCGTGCACCGAAGTTCAGCCGGTTGAAGTGCTTCTCAGACTGCACTACCATTAGGTCCTTAGTTCCAACTGACCCGCTTCACATCTTGTTTGGCCGGAGTGCTTCCAAGTTGTCATCACTGTTGGGGGAAATCAGTACGCTCGGTCTTTTAACTGGACTATTTTGCGGAGTTTTGTTATCGCCCTCGTCGGTTTAGGTGAGGGTGTCATTCCCGCCGTACCCTATTGGGCCGGTTTGGCTTGTGGCCTCAGCCGTTTCGTGTTGGCTGGGTCTAAATTAAGGTGTTAATCCTTTAGGCTTGGTTCAGCTACCGTGCAGTATGAGGTTGCGCTATGCCGTGTACCAAGGTCGAGTTCGGTTGGGTTGTGTATAAGGTGCATTGTTTCGAGGTCCTCGGTCGTTAGAGTTCGCCTGAGTTGTATGTGTGGTGCTTACTCAACTACTGTTGAATAAAAGTAGACTTTATTTAGAAGTTGTTTATACATTGGATCTCCTATTCTATTTACTGATAGTACATCCTAAGGTTTTCGGTGTTCTAGCTCCTCGGCACCAGTTTTCCGTCAAGGTCTTCTAGTCTTTAGGTGCTCAAGCCAAGCACTCTGGTTACCCTCTCCTTTAATTCCAACGAGATATTTCTTTCATTCTAATAATTCCCTCTCTTTGTAATTTAATCCACAATACAAACATAACTTTTAGAACCATCGGCAACAGGGACTTCAATAAAATGATTCCATGTAGGGACAGCCTTTCCACAAGTGGATAGTGTAGAATTTGTATATTGTTGTTCTGGTGTCTTGTAACTAGAAGTATGTTCTATTTTCCTACAATTTAAATTTGTTATTTAAAAAAATTAACAAATTTTATTTTATTTCAAAATCTAACTAAAATTACCATCACAAAGGCATTTCAAGAACATGAATTCAAAAATTATAATGCATACATGATAAAGTAAAACTGATTTCAATTTTCAACTATTTTAGTATTACCTTATCAATATCACAATTCTAATCAATTTCAATTTTCAGCTATGTGAAAGGGCATAGACAATTATAGGTAGGCTAACCTACAAGACTAAACAACTAGCTTGAGACTCCACTTGGTGGATTGAAGTGAAATCCTAAAGGAAAGATCAAATTCCAAGCCTGAAGCAAAAATCAAATTGGAATTTCAATTTGAGCAAACCTATAGGCAGAAGTTACAAAAAATGTTACAGAATAAATATTGCAGAATAAAGAAAAAATGTTGCAGTTTGGAATGAATAAATGTTGTAGAATTAGAATGAAAAAAATGTTGCAGAGTGAAGCTAATCACTTAATCAGTAATGAATAAATGTTGTAGTTTGGAATTTAGAAATCAGTGGAAGAAGAAGAGGAGGAGAGGAATCAATTGCTGTAGTTGGAGGGAGAGGGGTGTGGTGAACAAAGTCCATCGGCGAGAAGAAGAAGAAGAAGAAGAAGAAGAAAAAAAAAAAGAGGAGGAGAGGAAACTGGATGGCGGATTTAGAGGGAGAGAGATGTGCTTGGTGAACAAAGTTCACTTGCAAGAAGAAGAAGAAGAAAGAGGAGAGAAAACTGGCCGACAGATTTAGAGGGAGAGGGACGCGCATGGTGAACAAAGTCCACTTACGAGAAGAAGAAGAAAGAGGAGGAGAGAGTACGAGTACTTGTCGACGGTGACAATAATGGCATTGGCGGCGGAGCTGGAGGCACTGGTGGTGATGTTAGGTTAGGTTTGAAGAGAGAAGATCTGGTTTTACTTGGGAACTTGGGATTCGATTGGACCTAAGGTCCTATTTGGCCCAAAAAGACATTTTTTGTCCTTTTGCACTTAATGTGAATGAAAAAAAAAAAAAACCGGCCGGTTATACAAAACCAGAACTGGTTCTATGGTTCATTGATTGAACTAGACGGGTGGCCTGTTATTCACAGCTTTTTTATATACCGGTTTTGGGGGTATATCTGGACCAACTCGGGGGTGGGTCACGGTTCAACTGATTCAATCAGCCGGTCCGATATGGTTTTCAAAACATTGGCCACTGCTTTGTGTTCATTTTTTTCCTTTTTTTATGAATACCAGGGTGTCTTCGACACTTTATTGGTCTTGATGCTTTGTCAGAATATTGGGATGAACATAAACCAATTTTTGTGCTGATTTTTTAGATGAATACAAACCATAAACAAACCAATATGTTTATAGACAATTTTTGTGCTTAATTTGGTGATAATACAAACCAATTTTGGGATGAATGTTATTGATAAGGCTCCGTTTGGTTGGAGTACGAATACAAATTTATAGAGTGCAAAACAAAAATGTTTGGTTCATGTGAGTGCAAAGTGGTTCAAGATTTACACACCCACTTTGCACTCAGCTCATTTGTTTTGAAAGATGCAAATAAGAATACAATTTTTGTGGATGTTTGACATTTCCATCAATGCAAATACAACTGTTTCTTGCTACCATATGGTGTTACAGCTACTCCCACCATTAAACAAATATAAAAAATAACAAGATATCCGGGCATACAACGGGCAACTTGGTAAATACAACGGTCTCTTCTACCAAGTAAGCCAGTTTCTCTCTCCTCTTCTCGCCAACGACAACTACTCTTTTTGAATAGGAACTATGGAGCTTCTAAAAGGCATTTAGCTGCCCGGGCATCCTGCCACATAAAGGAACAAAAAAAAAATAGTGACAAACCATCCTGCATACATCAAAGTAAGTCTTGAAATAAAAGAATCCAATTGGCCTGTGGACAAGAGATGGATCATATCTGGGATCATTTCCCAATTTCCATGTGCCAATTAAACCATCTGCATATAGAGATATACAAAGAAAATCGAATTTTAAGATCATATCTGGGATGATATTTATAGCAATTGATTAATTACTACTAACAGTAATTTGTGGAAATTGTATGGATGAACCTCTTCCTGACATATAAAAGAAATCACATAAGAGAACAGAAGAACCAACAATGAGAATATGAAAGCTATGGTAGAGGATGAGAAGGGTTTTGATAACTTTACCTGCTGGTGTACCAAAAAAGCAGATGCACCCAGAGCTGTTGTAACAGCACCAACCATGACTCTATCATCGTTCTCTGCATCACCTTTCTCCTTGCCACTGCTTATTGAGCTATCTATATCAAAATATTGATTTTTTGTCAAAATATTTATGATTGTCTCCTTCATCAACCACTTTATCATAAAACTTTTCCCTCAGGTTTTCAGCTTCACTATGACCATTATCATGTAGTGTAGCCACATTGAAGTATTTTCTCAAAGCAGCTAGGCTAGCATAGAATTTCAGAGACCCTCTTGGAAAACATCTAACATCTAAAGAAAACATCTAAAAAGACATTGTGTGACCATTATCACACAATCAAAACTTTCTAAAGAAAAACATCTAACATGGGGCAAGTGAAAGAACCATTTCAAAGATTCGATGGATTATTTCTTTCGGTTCTTGTCCAGCATGTTGTATGTCACGTAAAACCCGTTTTACACGGTCAAAGTGAACTCCACCAGAAGGTCCAGAAGAGGTCGCAACTTTTCACTCAAAGCATAGATGCCGTAAATAATCACAAGACGGGAGGTTGGAACTTCAACTGTCCTGTTAAGAATATGAACAAAAAAGTATATTAAGAATTAGGAATATTGAGGAATGTTGATAACTTCATTAGACCTATTAGGCTCCCCACCTTTTCTTTTTATGAAAAATGCATGAAAATAAAATATTTGAACCTAGAGAATGCATTCCTTCTACAAAAATAAAAATAACTAAAGTAGTATATGCCTGTAATTCTGCAAACACATTGAAATATGCACATTGATGTTGTAGTGAAAAGACAAAAGGAATTCTTGGAAAGTTTTATTGAATAAGTGGAAAAATCTCACTCAATTGAGCAAATACATGACCACCTACTGGTTGATCAGCTGGTACTAAGTTAATATATGTAGCTCTAGTTCCATATGTTTAACTACGGGAAATGTTTACCGAAAACAATTAAGCACATAAACATCCATCATTCCATACTTTTTTCGGTAACTGTAAGCTTTATTGCATTATTAAAAAGATGTTATTTACAATGTGCCATGCACCCCTACTATAGGTCAGCATGTCTTTGTAGCCCTTCTGTGTTTTGGTTTTTAGATTACAAGCTTCCCCCATGAAAAGTATTTCCATAAAACAATTGCTCCCCAAGGGCACCTTCTTTTGCCAATGATCATCCATGTCATTCGCGGATCTCTGTGTCCATTAAAACCTTAGCCCCAATTCTGCAGCTAATCTTCTTACTTTCATTATCTCTTGTCTAAAGATCCATGGACCAGAATTTTATTGTTTGAACAAACCAACAACCAATTAGGAGTCACCTTCAGCCACAATGTGACTATATTGCAAGGATTTTCCTATACTCAGCCCAGATTGCAATAAATTCAGCCTTTATAGAGTTCTATATTCGAATGGGACCTGAAATATAAGGCGTTCCTGAAAACACCTCCAATACCTGAAACTCCAAGGTTACCCAAACTACAATGATAAAAATTGAATTTATTGAGATTTGGTTACAGAGGGATCCATATTCATCTTATCCCCCTATAAATTGATGAGTGTGGCACAATATTTCAATTTTAGAAAATGTCATCAGTTGTGAAAGGCTTGAAGGCTTACATAGACTTCATCTAATGAGCAACTTCCGTGGATATGATTTCCATAAGGATCCATTTGGACTGAGATTTGTCTTTAAAAATCCTATTGTTCCGTTCTTCCCATATTGAGCATAGGAAAGCTGCCCTCATCCAAAGAATCTTTCCTCTTTTTTTTCTTTTGTGAGAAGAAAGAATAGTAGAAAAGCCTCATAACCTCCCTAGGAGGATCAGACCTGCCACCAAAGACAGCAAAAGGGAAAATCCCAAATGCTGGATGTAAAAGAGAAGGAGATTAGTAGATGGTTAGTAGTTTCACATCTTGCTCGGAAAAGGAAACCTCTCAACAAAAGGCCTATACCCCTTCCAAACAGCTCTCATAGGAAAAGGGGGTAATGGATGAAGAGGAAGAAAAAAATTTAAAGAAAGAAGCACAAGAGCAGACACCAAAGTAATCAGCAATCCAAATACTAAAGTCAGCTGAACTGGATGTTAATGTTTTGTAAACATCCACAAAAAAAAAATACTGTAATTACACAGAATGGAGTATAGATCATTGAACACTCTCAAGCTTTTCTGAAAACATTTCATCTTCCTTGAAGGAGAGGAGAGATAACTCTTTTCATGTACCTTAGAAGCATATGGCATGGCATTGAGGTCTTCAATTGTAAGAGGTGATCCACATGGCTTTTTGTCTGCTAACAAGAGTTGTTGCTTAGCCTGAAACACAGAAGAAGGATGGGAAAGAGATTAGCACTTTCCTCTATGATGAATGCATGAATACTAGAGACAACATAAATAAATAATAATAATAATAAAATGATGGTAGCTTCCAATTACCCTCAATCTTATGCTTACCTTTGAATGGCCCTTCAGACTTAGCCCATGTTAACCAACATTTTGCCCTTTGTGCTAGAAATCTCAAACATATGTGTTACAAGTATGCAGAATCACTTGAGTCTTAATTGGATTATGTAATCCTTTTAGTCACTGAATTATCTTAGGCTTCGGTCTGGAGATTTTGACTTAACAGAAGGGAATGAGTGATAAGGTACATTTGAAGAAGCAAAGAAAAATGAAGGATGAGAGAAGCAATAACTCTAGAATGCGGTGAAATCAAAAAGTTCCAATGCACTTAATCAATCAAAAATAAATCAACAGACAAGTAATAACTCTAGTATCCAAAAATGGAAGTAGATAGCAAGATAGATGGAACATTACCTAGAAACGAAGAGGTTAAGACTCTCTCTTAAAACAGAAAATCCAACAAATGGAAAAATTGATCGAACACGACCTAAAGATGAAGAGGTTAGGATTCTTTCAAAGGAAAACCAAACAAACAACAAATAGATTGAAGGTAATTGGAAAATGAAGGTAGATCGGATTACCTCTGTGAAAACGAAGGCAGTTCAGAGTCGTTCTACTCAGTTTCTACGCAGTTGCTCGCAGTTGAGAGTCACTCGCCGTTCTCCTCTATCTCGAAAAAAATATCTATGTAGTTACTCGCTGTTCTCTCTCTCTCTCTCTTTCGAGGGTTTTGGAAAAACTCAAAACCTATTTACTTCAACCAACCATAGAAGCAATATTTTCTCCTATGTTCGATACAAACCTAAGAAGATATACAAAATTGTATCGAAAATCGATGCATTTTTGAAACTTAACCAAACGGATACAAATCTGAATCGGAGTGCAAATTTATAATGGTTCATATTTGCACTCCAACCAAACGCAGCCTAAGTAAGTGGGTATACACAATGAAGTTTATAGGACAAATGAAATTGATAAGGATCGTGGTGTTGTACTATTATTATCATCACAAAATAAGAAAGGTTGTTGGAATGGGTTTAATTGTTCTTATGTATAATTGCTAGTTTCATTTTGACGGTTGCAATGTATTAGAATTGCAGATTTTGCTTCATATTTGAGACCTTTGTCTTCTCTTTTTAAATAAATATAGTGGACCTGAGGCACTATGTCTACAACTTATATTGCAATTACATCTTAACTGTCTTGATATATGTTTCCTTCCTAGACATACCATACTAACATAATTTTTTTTTCCATGGGATGGCTTGGTAAAAGAATCTACAAATATTCTCTCTCTCCCTCCCTCTCTCTTTATATATATATATATATATACCACTCAATATTTTCAAATATATATACCTATCTATTTATTTATCTATATATATATATATATATGTAAATCTCTCTCTCTATATATATATCTTTTTGTAATAGTTAGTTTAATTATAATTTTTGTAACAGATAGTAATAGTAAATGCATATCCTTTCTTCTTTGTAACATGAAGTGCCATGAATATGTATAGATGAACAATCAAATGTTGATTGCAATTGTTGGATTTTATATATATATATATATATACCACTCAATGCTTTCAAATATATATACCTATCTATACATACATGTAAATCTCTCAATCTCTCTCTTTCTCTCTCTCTCTCTCTCTCAATCTATCTTTTTGTAACAATTAGTTTAATTATAATTTTTGTAACAGATAATAATAGTAAATGCACATCCTTTCTTCTTTGTAACATGAAGTGCCATGAATATGTCTAGATGAACAATCAAATGTCGATTGCAATTGTTGGAGCTACAACTAGTGGAGTTGCAGTTGCATTGACTCTTGTACAATAATGGTTGGACTATGTTGATAGAGAACCTTCTGTTAACCAAGACTTACAATGACAAGATTTACTAGATCAGTTGTATAGGGGAAGGCAAATTGGTTGTTACAACCAGTTAAGAATGGGGAAAGAAGTCTTCTACAGACTTTGTAAAATTTTGTGGGAGAATGGATGACTCCATAATACATTGAAGACTAGTGTAGAAGAACAAGTTGCTGGACTTTTGCACATCTTAGCACACAATGTCAGGAATAGAACCATTGGATTTCACTTTAGTAGATCTAGGGAGACTGTTAGTCGTCACTTCAACTCAGTGTTAGATGCAGCTTTGAGCTTAGAAGATAGATACTTGGTTCAACCAACTATCACTGATACACCACCTAAGATTAGAAACTGACAAGACTTTTGGTCATATTTCAAGGTAATGATAGTGTTAATATTATACCCCTTAGTTGCCTATATGAATCTAGGTGATGAATCATAAAATACAAACAATATTATTTGCTTGGTATGATTGTATTGGGGCAATTAATGGCATGTGCATACCTATGAAGGTTCCACTTGCAGACGTAGCTAGATTCCGTGGTCGTAAATTATATCTAACACAAAATATCCTTATTGGATGTTCTTTTGACCTACTTTTCACATGTGTTTCCTAAATGGGAGGGTGTTGCATTGGATTCCTGCATGTTAAGTAGTGTATTGTCAAGGGAACATAGACTAAAAGTCCCACAAGGTATCAATACATACCCATATAGGTCATATTAGATATAAATGTGGAAATTGCTATATAACCATTTCTTGTATTTTAATTAGGTAAATATTACCTGGTAGATTGGGGTTTTGCTCTTAAGTCTGGCTTCCTCATCCTGTACCAAAGCACAAGATACTACTTGAAGAATGGGGTTCACATCAACCTGAGAACCCCAAAGAGTTGTTTAACCTCCATCATGCTTTACTCAGGAATGTAATTGAGTGGATTTTTGGGGTTCTCAAGGAATGCTTCCCAATTTTGGTTTCTGATCAACATTATCCATTCAAAACACAAGTCAAGATTGTCTCAACATGCTGCATATTACATAACCATGTAATGGGAGCGAACCCATATGATCGAATAATGTCTCAATATGATAGTGAGGTAGTTGGATGTGCAGATGTTGAAGTAGATGACGGGGAAGAGTCATGATGTTGTTGGTGATACTCATGTTTCCCAGCCATCTCAGTGCATTAGTAGAAATGAGTCTATGAGAGAAGGACACTGTCTTAGGAGGAGATAGCTAACCAAATATGGGCAAACTACCAAATGGCTCAATCCAAGCGTTGGCATTAATATATCCATGTTTTATCTTCATTTTAGTTGTGTTGGACTTAATAATGGAGTTGTATTTTGAATTGAACTACTACCCTGTGTGACTATTTGATGTGATGAATGTTATTAGTTTGGACATTGTTATGTGATGAATGTTATTAGTTTTAGTTAAGGTAGGTTGATTGAAAAGTTGAATTGTTGCTATGAATTTACTAACTTTGCATCATGCTATATGTTTGGACATTGTTCTGTTAGCTGAATAATATGAGATGTTGTTTGGTTTGAATCAAACATGGATACTCAAAATAGTGAAAATGATGGTAGATCTAGTAAGTCCAATATGAGTTGGACTTCTAAGATGGATAATACATTGACTGAGACTTTGATAGAACAAGTGGCCCTTGGGTACAAAGTTGATAAAAGCTTCAAAGATCCGGTGTTAGGTGTTTTCACCATGGTAAGGTGGAGGTTGATTAGTCTCCGAAGGTCCAGAGATGGCGGCGGAAAAGAGAGAGGATGTGGAGAAGAGAGGAGAAGAGAGGGGAAAAGGAGTTTCTTCTCTCTCAAAAACCCTAGGTCAAGTTAATCATTGTATTGTCTCTCTAGGGAAAAATTGCTCTCTCCCTTTTATACAGAGAAAGTTAAGTTTATCAAGGAACAAGTTCTTTCCTGTTAGGCAAGGGAATCCTTTCTGTTAGGAAATGAGATCTTCCATTTGTTTCACTATTAAGGGATAATTATTAAAGAATCATATCCTTTCTGGATTCTCTCCGTATGTGATCCTATTATACTAACGTGGCGTGGGTGACATCATCATTTGGTAGGCGAATTTTCATTAAACCCACATGCGTAATTTAAAGACACACATATAACCTGTTAGATAGTGTATGCCCTTAGCTCCAATAAACATTATGTACATTATGACATTTATTGTAAATAAATAAAGTACATATTTGATTCATGTTATTATGGTGTGTTTCTGTGTAATGCCCCTAAACTGGAAACATATAAGACTCATGTTAGTTTGGAATCTTTACAATCGTTGGATAGATCTAGGGGGATTTGTCCTACCAAGGCTAACACTAATGTACCACCAAGTTGGTTGGGGTGGCTTGTCTCAGCTGCCAGGGTGAGACCGAGGTACATGTAGTGCGGGTTTTCTTGAAACCCTGAACCGGACCAAAATTCCAGTATTGCCCTGGACCTTAGAGATAGATGGGCAAAACTAGAATATTACACCTGCCCCTAGACTCGATTATGCTACTGCATTAGGTGTCGAATCAGGCTGTCTTTAATATGCCAATCAGTGAGATCCTTAGAGGGGGTCAAAACCTGGGCATGTTGGGGCAGTCCAAGAATTCATCTGAGTGGGTGATCATAGTGATAGGATCAGCCCCTTTGTCGGACAAAGTGAATGATTGGGGATGCACTCTCTTTGATGGAAACCTAAACTGCCGACAGTTGATTTCAACCGTTGAAATTTGTTTTTGCAAAATATATTTACATAGAGATATACATATATATATATATATATATATATATATATATATATATAGTTTCAAAATTTTTGCAAAAGGTTTTAAATCCCGGGATCCATGTGAGTAGAGAGTACAACACTGCACCTTGCAGGTGAGGGAGAGGTCATCTCTTGTCGGACAGTGTTTGATCATTATGAGCTGAGAGGTTAAGTGTAATACCATTGAGGATTATACCTGATGGGCTAATCTAGCATCTGCCCACAGTCCTTAGGCCTTCATAAGATGGCTAGACCCAATGACCATTTAGTATAAATGTTGGGCCTATTAAGAGCCCATGGTGACGGAATCATTGTTTCATTGCATTCAGTAGTGAATTCGGATAGGCCTTTTAACAGAGGCTAGGCTGAACACATGTGGCTAACGTGTAGATCAATGATAGGGTCCCACACCATACAAAGAGAGTCAAGCTAACCAACATTAAAGTGGAAGTGAGCCTGAAAGCTTAATGGGCCTAAAAGCCCATTTCGAACTAGGTTAATTAGATTAATTAAATTGGGGTGGATCTGAGATTTGAATCAGCAGATAAGATAAGGGATTATCCTTATCCACTTAAAGAGTCTAGATCCAAATAAAGATTTGGATCAAAGGAACTCCTAATTTGATTAGGAAGGCTGATCTTTACTTATAGATAAAATAAGGGATTATCCTTATCACTTAAAGAGTGTAGATCCAAATAAAAGATTTGGATTAGGAAACTCCTAATGAGATTAGGAAATTGTCTCTTTAAGGCTATAAATAAGAGAGCAGGGCGAACCTTCAAAACACATTCACTAAATCCAGAGAGAAGACAACACAATTAGACTGCTCTTGCCTTCTGCTCTTTTTCTTCCTGCTCTTGCCACCCTACCCTGTTCAATCTCCAGTTCTTTGATTGGATCAAGATTCGATCTTGATATTGTTTCTTGCCAAAAGAAACAATCTAGAAGTTGCGCTCACTGTCCCACTCGATTCTTGCTGAAGAATCACTAGTTCTTGCTGAAGAACTACCTGTTGATACTGCCTCATCCTAAACTGTGTCATCTTCAGTGGAGGGAGGATTTGGTACTCTCTTTGGGCGTGAATACCTACGTTGGGAGGAGCATTCTTGCATGGATTCCGTATCAGGTATACCCCTCCCTTAATTTGGTTTCAGATTTGGTCCGGTTTGGTTACAAGAACGAAACTTGAAAATGTAGTTTTCTAAATTGGGAA